GTGAAGAGATGCCTGCCAAAGGATTCTTTTCTTGACTTCTGGAAGGCTGTCTGAAAAAGTGATTCAGACCATCTCTTGAGAAACCAGGATGCAAATCTTCTGTGGTTTGCAGTGAATATTTAGGGGACAAGGAGCTCATTCAGTTATCCGTTTTGTACAAAACCTAACAATTATCCCTTAGTGTCATTCAGTGGGAGCGGTGAGTACAAGCAATCCTATTTCTAATATGTAGTAAAGCTTTTTTCAACTATGAAAGTAGTCTTGGGAGGAAAGAGAACATTACTAGCAAGTCTAGCAAAAAGTGATATATCAGGTCCTGGGTAGTAGCAGCAATTCTAAAAAAGCTTAACTGGGGAGCAGGGGGGAAGAGATGAATGCTGAATAAAGGGGCAATCAGGGGAGTGATGATTCAAAAGTTTCCTTATACATACATTGATTGGCATATGCATTCATCCCATTTTTTGCACCCTGGGCTTTTCCTGCAACTTGGAGAAGTTTTGCCCTGTCTGCCAAATATACACAGCTACCTGTGCTACACTGATGTGTAACATAGCCAGGGATACTATACATAGTATACTATACAGTACTGCATGCAGAGGTGTCCACAGCTGCTTTACAAATGCAGCAGACTTCTCTGTGGTAATAACTGATCTATTATCCAGTGATCAGAGGGGGAGGTAGAAATGGATGGCCAGAAGTGTAATTTATATAGGTCATAACAGTATTGTTCATGGTGTCTTATTTATTAGTTAACCAAGTGAAAAATAATTAAAATATAAGATCAAACTGTGTGGAGCAATTCTGGAAATACTTAAGAAAAAAACCTGAGGGTATTTCATGCAAGAAATACTGTTTGAGATGACACCTCTTGCCCAAGACTGGAATAAGTAGTATATAATAAGCACAATCAGAAATTGAATGCTTTTCATATACTTTGTTTCAGGGTTTTAGCATTTAGATTTCCCATACAGTCTCATATAGTGATGAGGCCAGTTCTGAGAGTGCATAATTATTACTACTTTTCCAGTTTTAAAAATACCAAATTAGGCATGGAACTGCAGTACTTGATTCAAGCAAATCTCTGTTAAGCTAACAAAGCCTCCTCCGTTTCATAATTTGATTTTGGGATCCTCCATTCTTCTTTGCAGTACTGACCCAAAGATCCTTTTCGAAGAATCATCTCATCTCACATGTGTTCTTAGCAGAGGATTTTTAGGGGCATCTGAAAAACATGAAGGATATTTTTCATTACACACTCTATTGTAAGTGTATTACAGAGCCATTTTATAATGCACTTCCATGGAAAATGGAAACAATCTAACAAAAGCTTGGGGTTTTTGGTGGCATTTGAGGAGCTGTTATATATGCAGGATACACAGGATTTATAGAAACAGAAGAAAGAGTGAACTATAAACCTGTGCATATTCATCTATTCAAAATCTTGTTTTTTCCCTAAAGCTAGGCAAGTACGAGTTGTGCTCTTAAACAACCACCTGATTCTTTTTTTCCCCTCACCAAAGGTTCCAAACCCTTCTATTGCCTTTAAAAGGTTTATTAGTCATTGCTTCTGAAAAATCAGCTATTCTTATTTATGTGCCAAAAACAGAGTTAGGGGCCAACTTGACATACTTAGCGTTGAAAACTTTAATGTGTCTCTAACATATTCAAAAATTGTATTTACAAAATTGTACTATTACTACAAACAGTAAAATTAATCTGTAATTACTATTTACTTCTGATTTCATGAATTAAAGCCAAATCAAGATCATGCTAGTATGTTTATATAACATCAGTGTTGAGAACTTTAAAGAATGTTATTAATGCAATTAAAGCAGAGTGGATATCAACTCACATCACTGTTTGCTTATTCTCTAGAGGCACTACAATGAAAGATGCTTCATTACAGCATCTTTGGGCTTCGTTATAACAGTAGCCATAACAATGTCTCTGTGAATATCCAAGCAACTCTATTTCACATTAATAATTGCCTGGCTGCTATTCTGTTTTTTCACATTGACATTTTTAATACTCGATAAACATCCTTCATCCTGAGGTTTGTGTGTTATATTCTACACTTACCCCTAGGCTCCTTGCTGGGATATATTCTCTGAAATGGCTTGAATTCATCAGGAGGGGGGAAATCTTCCACAGAATGAAAAGTAAATTTAGATTCAAAATCATCTGGAAAGTTTAAAAACAGAATTAAATATTAGAATAATAAACGTTTATCACCATTAACAAAACTGATTTACCATTGGAAGAAAATTATCAGTGAGATGCATAACTTGATTACAGTTGCACGTAACTGAGATCTATCACTGAAGTTTACTCCCTGAAAAGACCCCATCACAGGAAACAAATTGCAGATGGTCCTGTGGACTCCCCTCCATTTTTTGTGCAGTTACATAGGACTCATTAGCCCCTGTCTGTGGCAACCACTGCAGTTGTTTACTGTGCTGTTAGGACACTATTTAACATCCTTGGGGAAACTCCATCCTGTAGAATGTGACAGGAATAGGACCACTAAGGTTTTGCTGATATTTCTCTATAAAAGCTTAAAAATATTACAGCCTTTCAATAGGGTTTTTGTAACATGCTGTAAGATTTTTACAATAAACATCTGATTTTTTTTTTCCTATATGGTGGTCTTAAAACAAACAAACAAAAACCTGTCAAAAAGATCTACTTTGTGCCATAAACCTATACTGCAGAACATCTCTCGAAAGGCCTTTCACACTCCTCTTTCACAGCAGGCCTTCAAGTGCACACGCATACTGAACTTTTGCAGCTATTGTAAGGATTTGTGCCAGATGGATATATTACCAACGATGGGCATGTTTCCATTTCTAAACTGTGGAGAGGGTTCACGTGCTGGCCAGGGTCCAGCCTGGGCATATGGAGACTTGCTTGTAAGTTCAGTTGTTGGTGATCTTGCTGGAGGCTGCGGAGGTAGAGGTAACTTCCCAACGCCAGACACTTAAAGATACAGAACAGAAAGGAAAGAAACAATAATGCAGGAATTTAAGAGCTCTTAAGAAATTCCTTTGAACAAAGAATCGACTGCAACATAGAACTGAGGTCTGCTGCAAAACCAAACACCACCACCATGACAGTAAAAAGTTGCCTCATAGCTGCTGCTTTCCAAGCCTGGCCATTGACAAGTTCTGCTAGCTCTGTGCTCTAACACCTGGCTCAGTCCTGGAATTTCTGGTTAATAACAAATTATAACTCTGTGCTTTTGTTCTTATTTTGTAAAAACTATTGTTCTGATTAAAAAAGTCAGCCCCACATAGTTCAGGCTGCTCTTGGGGAAAAGGAGCTTTTTTCATGCATAAGCTGGTAACTACAGGTGGTAAAACCCTTGAACTGCTCCTGCCCCTACAAAATCCCATAGGGAAAGCAAATAACCAAAGAAAGGACCCAAAGGGTAAAAATGCACCAAAAATTCTAAAATAAAGACTTCATTGAAAAAAACCCACAATTTAGCATTTTTACTGCATGAACAAAAGGGAAGTCTGTGTGTTGCCCCTCCCCATGCCTTCAACCCTTGGCACCTCCCCCCAGTGC